AAGCTTGATCTCGGATAAGGCTCCCCTGGCAAGCTTGGTGATCATCGGTCACCAATCGTTCACCGGGCACACTGGGGCCTCATGAAATGAAAGAGGTGCGTTGCCAAGCAAAGCTCTTGGCACCGTGGTCTGCTCCGAACTTGAACCTCTCAAGTGCTCTTCCCACAAGCCTCTCTGCCACTCCCACGTTCCTTGCTTCACAGAAGAACATACTCCGTCCTCGTCTACGGCGCAGATAGGAGCAACGCTTCGAGTGCTAAACGAGAACACGTGGCCAACAAAAATGTGCCAGGGTCGACAATCGCCAGAGGCACCCGGCATAAAGCTTGGATCTGAATGCTCAATTCACCCGGGAACTCTTGTCCCAGAAGTGGCCTCCGTTCAGCAACAGGACACCCACAAGTTGAGCCTCAAGATTTCCCTCACTTGCGGGATGTGTCGAGACAGGCAGGCTCAGTTTGTCATGGTGGCAGTTCCCAAGTAGCGAGGCGAAGGCATCTCACGCAAAATTGGTGCATGCCAAGATCCCAGCTTGGCAGGACTGCCCCAACAACTTCAAACATCTGCACAAACCACAACGAACTCCAGCAGCGATGTGCAGAGGCGCTTTTCATGTACAAGGCCAGAAGACCCAAAAGATCCTTTGCAATGAGAAAGCCTTCTGTCTGCCGCAGCAAGGAACGCCTTTTAAATTTCGCGTTCCACCCGTTCCTTCATCTGCGTGAATCATACGGATCATCATTGCAGCAGATGCAATCAAGTCTGAGGCCCCATGTCGCATCTTGACATATTGGTCGTAGACACACTGTCATGCTGAACGCCTATGCACGGATTGCTGTAAGGCACGGGCCACTGCACAGCAGACATTACAGGCCCTAGCTTACCAAGTTCATGGATACTGGATACGTGATCTGACGACCAAAGTGTTCGCATGAGTTTCATGGTGCTGACTGTAATGGTCGGTGACCAAACATGTACAAGTACCCTGAACAAGCCCTGTCTAGTCCATACAGGCTGCGTATCTTGCAACTCAAACTAAAAACTTGATAAAGCAGCGCATCCTCAAACGATGAACAGACAGGCATCAACAAAGTTGGCCCGCGCATGAGAGATTCTATGTGTTAAGGGATTTATTGGAGAGCAGTCAGAGTTCACATCAACTCCCATGATTGCAGCTCCTTGCAGGCGGTCTTGCTTTCAGGAATGAAATTATCCCGGAGTTTGCGCCCCCTGAACCCTGGTAGGCGGGGCTTCGGACCCACAGATCACCACTAAGGAATTCAGGATGGTTGTAACCTTCTTAACTATGAGTATGCCCCAGAAGCCTACAAGTACTTGGGATGTAATAAATCCCAGTATAGATAGGCTTGATCCATTAAGAACCTTCAAGTAATCTCCTTGCTTCACTTCAGAGGACCTGCCCTCGCCCCCCTCTTTCTCCCGCCCTTACTCCTCTCAGATCTTGCTACGCATTGGCAGCCTTGGATAGCGAAAGAAAAGCGAAAAAAAGGGGTGAGACGAACAGATCTTTCTGCTATTCAACATCCCTCAGCGGCATACACCATCAGGAAATGAATTGAGTATCTGAGAAGCCCCTAAGAAACCTCTCCAGTGGTAATGGTATTCCTCCTGTTGAACTTTTCTTGCAACCAAAAGGCCCTACAACACGCCCCAAACGAGCTCAGCTGCCATGTCTCGCCGAGGCCTGCGCGTGCACAGACATTGAACCGCCTTCTCAGAATTAAACACCCCACACCCTCAATGCTAAAATGGTCCTAAACATGTTTCGGCTGACGTGCCGAATATTTGATGTTGGGGTGTGATGGGGGGGATGTTTAACATTCGGGGGAGGTCATGGTGTACGTGCAGGGCCGAGGGTGCCCACATACCTCCATTGGGTAGCGAAACACTTTTTGCCAGCAGCAAAGTGAACACTGGCCTCCACGAGCCATGGTGAGAGTTCGGTGTCGGAGCATGTGAGTGAGTGAGCGAGTGTGTCAGTGCGTGTGTGCGGTCGGCTTGGGCGCACTCAGCCTAACCACGTGGTCCCGGCCGCCATGTCAGCCTTTCCGCAATCGTCATCTAAGCTACAGGACTGCGCCACCCTGTCCTCCACAAGCCCGCCCCAAGCTAGCGGTAGTATTCAGAAGCCAACTTCTTGGGTTGGCAATGGTGTCAGAGCATGTGCCACCGCAAGACCAAAACCCCCTTGTGAACCCAGCTTAAACAGAATGTATGACGTATTCAATTCTATAGCCGGACTTGCTGTGAACATTCCTCAAAACATTTTGTCCAAGATCAATGTCTTGCGTTGCGGAAACAAAACAGTAGGCCTGCTCACACGACCCCAGGCGCAGAGAAAGGGAACGGTGGCCCCTTAGCGCGGGCACAAAAGCTTGGTATTGGCAAGTTCTCATACGACACTTGCATCACTTGCACACGTGCTTGCCTTCTTCCGAAAGGACAGCACCATTGCAGTACTTGGTCAACAAAAACTGGCGGCTACCCATGGGCTCGCGGTCTTTTGCCATGCACGAGAAGGTATTGTCGCTCATACTATCACACTGACCGCCCACAGCTCTATTGCAGACGGGGGGCCTCGGTTGGCTCTGAAGCTCTGCAGCATGATTTCAAAGGGGGGTCCAAATGCTCTATGCTGAGTTCACAGGACCTGATTCGAAGGTCCGCCTCAACGGCGGAGGCAACACTGGCTCATACCATCAGAGACTTCCTGTATACCAAAGATTTCCAAGGGTGCATGATTTGGAGGAAACCTTGCTATCCAGCCCAAGCAGAAGAACATCACAAGTCTATTTATGCCTCAGTCTTGCCAGACTTGGTTGAACGGCACAATGTTGCTCAATCTGCACCAAGCACTGCTCAACCATTGAAAATGGGCAGGCACACACAAAAGTTGGGCGACTTCCTTGGGAAGCTCCCTTTAATTAGTCAACATACTACGACATTTCTGCGGAAGCAGCGGAGAGACAAGCTGCCTCCTCATCATGGCCGCAATAGCTCTGCTCGCACGTGTATCTACATTCAATGCATAATTTCTTGACATACTACTTGTGTGTATAGATAAATACAGATATAGGGGAGAGAACACATAGAATCGAAATTTGTTAGACTGTTGAGAGCTATTTGCGGCTATTTGATCTTAAGTCCGGATGGCAGGGCGCACAGAAAGCTTCTGCAGCAAAGCCGGGCTGGGGCTGTAGGCTACGCAGACCCGTTCGCCTCACGGGGTGTTTCCGGCCACTTCCTGGGCTGCTGTTAAGGAACTTCATTTAAGGCAATATATCGGGGAAACCACATTAGTTACTATATATACCCATTATGGTAACTTAATTTAAGTTCCTTAAATCCCTATATTACCCCAGTTTCCATTCCATTTTCCATCTTCTTTTCCATTTGATTCTCCATTATAGGGGAGAATATAGCTTAACTTAAGTGCCTTAACAGCAACCCAGCTTCAGCTCCACAGACTCCATTCCGCCAGGAAGTGCTCCGGACACCTTCATGGGCATCAAATTGACGAGTCGGGCTGCTGCAAAGAGGATTGTTATGGGCATCTGAGGGGCATGTAAACACGGCCTTTCTTTTGTGCTGAACTGTTGGCGACCAGAACTATTCGTGCGGCACGCGGGAAGTACAAGAATGAAGCAAAGAAGCAAAAAACACCCTCTTGCCCCTTGGACAAGAATGACCTCCAATCGAACAGGTGTCCTTGTTAATACCTTCTCCAACAGAATGAACTACTGCTTTGTGTCTCCAACTGCCATTTACATATTTTGCACAAGCATCTGCATCAGCATCGCGGTATCACCAAACGCCCCTATGACATGGGCCAGGGCACCAGCGCTCCAAGAGATAGCACGAGATCCGAAAGATGCCGATTGCCTGCTCAATTTGCAACGACTGCAAGATACACCCTTTGCGCCTTCGACATGAACCTTACAGTACTTCTGTCAATTCCACAGACGTACGTGTATGTTTACCAGTCGTACTGGTGGGTCCTTGATGTGAGTCTTCAATCATGCACACTGTTGTCGCTTGTTGTTGGAAGGGGCATTCTAACTTACTGATTGCTTAGAGAATAAGGGAATAGAATGCCCGTATAAGCCCTATACAAAATATACATAGTTCCTTATTCCCTACTATCCCCCAGTAATTTGACTGAGTTGAATGGCTTAGCCTTGCTGTACAGCCATCAGCTCCTCCCACAGCTTGTTGTTCTGCTGCTTGAGGGCCTGGGCTAAAAACAGTAGGACAGATTCGCGTCAGGCAAACGCAGCATGCCTGCACAAACTTGGGCTCAAGGTTTCTTGCGTTTACTTTCGGACAGTAACCTCGACTGTTCCAGCATTCTCCCTCGCCCGAGCATGCCCAGGAGTAGTCTTGGCAAGGGGTAGAGGAATCATGCCATGTCGAGTGAAGGTAGCCTGACCACCCTTGTATGTATTGTCCCTGTACAATCTCAGCGCTCATTTCATTTTCAAGTTGATTCTCCATTACTCCCTACCTAGGAAGTCAGAGTCAGCATGGAGCGGCTGTTGGATTCGATAACTCGGATTGATCGCTTTCAAGCAGTTGCATGATTTCTTCTTGCAAACCCCTTCTGGTGGTCACCGGAGGGGTGTGCGGCTGAACAATAAATGAGAAGGCGCGCGTTCAGGACGTCCTCCACAGGCGTGCCCGTTAAGCACTGCACTGGCGTTAAAATGCTGTCGTAAACGTGGTCAAAGCAGAAAATAAAGGCGGAGGTCTTATCATGTGTTGGCTGCTGGAGGAGCGAGGAAACGATTTGCCATCCAGCACGGGGCATTTAGGTTCTCTTAACCCCGTGTTCTTCGTCACAGAAAGCCGGGCGGTCTTAGCTATCAGCTATCGATCAGTGATGACCTGCACAGCTTTATGCAGAACGACCCCCAAGCCCCTCAACTTCTGCTCCATAAACCCTGCACCGCAAACTTTAAGTTCATCAGCTGCCAAAGAGCAAATAGGTCCACAGATCTTGCCGGTCCGTGGAGCTGCAGGCATCTCTCCTTGAACTCCTTGCAGACAATCAATCGGAATTTGGGGGGGACTTAGGGCTATATAAAGTGTATATGGAGGTTATATAAGGGATTATGAAGGCATAATGGGAAAGAAAATGCAAACTACATGAAACTACTATTTAGGGGGTGAGGGGGTTGGGGATGGTTGGTTTGGCTGGGAACTCCAGCTCCTGGCGGAAAACATGGCAGGCCACAATGTCGTGCAATGCGGTTTTCTCAACATGTGGGGCCACTTAGGAACCCTTTGAACTTATGGGGATGGTGCCTGGGGTCCCTATCAAGGATTCTAAGCCCTAAACCCTACAGGGAGCATTTTGCAAACCAAAAGCTTCCTCGAAGCTGATGAGATGATCTCCGTCGGCATCCAGGGAGTCGAAGAGCGTCCAAGCGTCCATGGCGTTCATCTCGATGGCTCCAAAGAAGGCCTGAGCTGCTGTTAAGGAACTTAAATTAAGTCACTATTTTTGGGGGATTATATAGGGAAAATGTGTTTAGGAACTTAGTTTAAGCTACTATATTATCCCTCTACAATGGAAAATCAAATGGAAAAGAAAATGGAAAATGAAATGCAAACTGGGATAATATAGGGATTTAAGGAACTCAA